TTCATATGGAACCAAAAAAGACCTCGAATAGCCACAGCAATTTTGAAAAAGAAGAACAAAGTAGGTGGGATCACAATACCAGATATCAGGTTATACTACAAAGCAATTGTAATCAAAGCAGCCTGGTACTGGCACAAGGACAGGCATATAGCCCAGTGGAACAGAACAGAGAGCCCAGAAATGGACCCAAGGCAATATGCTCAATTAATATTTGACAAAGGAGGCAAGAGCATACAGTGGAGTAAAGACAGCCTCTTTAATAAGTGGAGTTGGGAAATTGGACAGCTACATGCAAAAAGATGAAACTAGACCATCAACTTACACCATACACAAAAATAAACTCAAAATGGATAAAAGACTTAAATGTGACCAGTGAAACCATAAAAATTCTAGAAGAAAATGTAGGGAACAAAATTTTGGACTTGATATGCAGGAGAATTGTCACTGATACATCACCTAAGGCAACAGAAACAAAGGAGGAAATGAACACATGGGACTACATCAAACTCAAAAGCTTCTGCACAGCAAAAGAAACAACCATCAAAATGGAAAGGCAACCCACTGTATGGGAGAACATCATTGCCAATGATACATCAGATAAGGGGTTAATTTCCAAAATATTTTGAGTACTCATACAACTCAACAAAAGGAAGACAAAGAACCCAATTAGTAAATGGGCAGAGGAGCTGAATAGACACCTCTCCAAACAGGACATACAAATGCCCAAGAGACATATGAAGAAATGCTCAACATCACTAATCGTCAGTGGGATGCAAATTAAAACGACTATGAGGTATCACCTCACACCTGTCAGAATGGCTGCCATCAACAAATCATCAAACAACAAGTGTTGGCGAAGGTGTGGATAAAAGGGGACTCTAGTGCACTGCTGGTGGGAATGCAGACTGGTGCAGCCACTATGGAAAACAATATGGTGTTACCTCAAAAAATTAAATATTGAACTTCCATTTGACCCAGTGATCCCACTTCTAGGAATATACCCTAAGAAGGCTGAAACACCAATCAGAAAGAATATCTGTACCCCCATGTTCATAGCAACACTATTTACAATAGCTAAGATCTAGAAACAGCCCAAGTGTCCATCAGAGACGAATGGATAAAAAAGCTGTGGTATATATACACAATGGAGTATTATACAGCTGTAAGAAAGAAAGATCTCTTATCCTTTGAGACGACATGGAGGGACCTGGAAAGTATTATCCTAAGTGAAACAAGCAGAAAAAGTCAAATATCACATGATCTCACTTATATATGGAATATAGTGAGTATAGCAGTGTGAGGAATAGGGTAGACCCAGAAACACGGAAGTAGGGCACAGACTGACAACCCTCAGAAGAGGGTTGGGAGGTGGGAAGAAATATACCACAGAACTTATATGCATGTTTGAATAACCAATGGACATGGAAAACAAACCTAGGGATGGTGCAGGGGGGATGGGGAGGAGGGTGTCAATGGGGTAAAAAAGGAGAAACATCTGTACCAAAAACAAACAAAAATATTGCATTATGATTACCTACATAGCAGTCTGTCTATCACAGAACTCAAGTCAGTGGTGAGACAATGGAGAAGGTACCTTATTTTTTTTTCTCCTTAATCCTCACCCAAGGGTGTTTTTTCATTGATTTTTTTTTTTTGTTTTAGATAAGTGGAATGGAGGGAGGGGGGATAGTAAGAGAGAATGTGAGAGAGACACATCGATTGGTTGCCTCCTGCATGAACCTCACCAGGGCTGGGGATCGAACCTGCAACCCTTTGGTCAGTAGGCCGATGCTCTAACCAGTGAGCTGTGCCGGCCTGGGGGAGATGGTACCTTTTATTTATTTTATTTTATTTTTTTCTCTTTTTATTTTTATTTATTTATTTTTATTTTTTAAACTTATCTTTATTGTTGAATGTGTTACAGATGTTCCTCATTTTTCCCCCATTGACTCCTTCCCCACTCCTGCCCCCCCAACCTGCCCTTCACCACAGTGTTGTCTTTGTCAATTGGTTATGCATATATGCATATAAGTTCTTTGGTTTATTTCTTTCCACCCCCTAACCCCCCTTTTCTTTGAGGTTTGTCATCTAGCAACCAATTTGTACTTCTTAATCCCTTCACCTATTTCACCCATTCCCCCAACCTTCCTCCCAACTGGCAACCAACAAAATGTTCTCTGTATCTATGAGAATGTTTCTGTTCTGCCTGTTTACTTTGTTTGTATATTCAATTGTCGGTAGATATGTATTCATTACCATTTTGTTCATATTTTTTATCTTTTTCTTTAAGAAGACCCTTCAACATTTCATATGATAATGGTTTGGTGGTGATGAACTCCTTTAACTTTTTCTTGTCTGGGAAAGTCTTTATATGGCCATTGATTCTAAATGACAGCTTTGCAGGATAGAGTAATCTTGGTTGTAGGTTCTTGCTTTTCATCACTCTGATTATTTCTTGCCACTGACTTCTGGCCTGCACTGTTTCTTTTGAGATATCAGCAGACAGTCTTATGGGAACTCCCTTGTAGGTAACTAACTACTTTTCTCTTGCTTTCAAGATTCTCTCTTTGTCTTGAACCTTTTGCATTTTGATGATAATGTGTCTTGGTGTGGGCCTCTTGGGGTTCATCTTGTTTGGGACTCTCTGTGCTTCCTGGACTTGTATGTCTGTTTCCTTCACCAAGTTATGAAAGTTTTCTGCCATTATTGTTTCAAAGAGGTTTTCGATTTCTTGTTCTCGCTCTTCTCCTTGTGGCACCCCCAAGATGCGAATGTTGGCACGTTTGAAGTAGTCCCAGAGGCTTTTACATGATCCTCATTTTTCTGGATTCCTTCTTCTTTTTGCTGTTCTGATTGGGTGTTTTTTACTTCCTTGTATTCCCAATCGATGGTTTGCTTCTTGGATTTACGTACTCTACTATTGAATCTGTGTAAATTATTCTTTATTTCAGTTAATGCCTCCTTCCTTTCTGACTACGCATCCTTCATTTTTGACAGGTCTTTATTATGCTCTTGAGGCCCTCACTAAGTTCGCTGAGGTTCTCACCAAATTCATTGAGCATCCTTATATGCAGTGTTTTGAGCTCAGTATCTGTTAGGTTGCTTATCCCCATTTCGCTTAGCTCTTTTCCTGGGGTTTTGTTCTGTTCTTTCATTTGGGGCCTGTTTCTTTGTTTCCTCATTTTGGCTGCCTCCCTGTGTTAGTTTCTGTGTATTACTTAACAAGAGGTATGGGGCTCGCTGAGACCAGATGCTGCTTGTTTGAAAGAATTTAGGAAAACCTGAAGCAGGATCCAAGACAGGCCAATCCTATGGTTAAGCAATTGGCAACAGGTTAGGTGTTCCCGAAAGTTGGGTGGGACAGGGCCTACAGGAATCACCAGGGCGGTGCAAACAGTGTGAACCAGGTTGCTGGAGTCCCAGATATGGCAGCAGTCTGCCGCCCCAGGAAAGGGCTCACCAAAGGAACAAAGGCCTCTGATAGCACGTCTGTCCTGGAGAAAGCCCCCTGTCCAGCCCTTGCTCCAATGCCGAACAGCTCAGTTCTTTCCTTTATGTCTCTGGCACCCTTTGAGCTGCCTCCCTTCTGAACTTAGAGGGAGCAAGTCTGGGTAAGTCAGTGTGTGGGCCCCTTAAGGAGCTGCCTGGGGCTCCAGCCGCCTCAGCCTCCCTGAGCCTCAGTTCCCGCTTGTTTTTCCAGCTAGAAGTTTTGGGGATTCTCTTCCTGGCACTGAACCCTGAGCGGGGCGCCTGGTGTGGGACGGGGACCCCTCAGTCCTCAGGAAGGACCTTCCCAGCCGAGGTGTCCTCCTGATTTTTATCCGCCACACGTGGGTGGAGGACCAACGTGTTGGCCTCCACCGCTACTACCAGTCTCTATGCGGCTTCTTCTTTAATTTTGTAGTTGTAGGACTTCCATTCAGCTTGAGTTCAGGTGGCTTTGAATGATGTTCTGTAGTTTAGTTGTAACTTTGATGTGGTTGTGGGAGGACGCGATACCGCGTTTACCTAACCGCCATCGTGACCAGAAGTCAAGATGGTACCTTTTAGTATCTGCATTCTATGAAACAGAACCCTTCCTGTTCATATTTTTGATTGTGGGAAGGTGAAGTTTTTATTATTTAATTATAACGCTTTTATTAATCTTGATAACAGATGTCAGTGTGTTTTGTTCCAGGGTCATAAGCTTCAGAAAAAATACTCTTTGATCAGTGATCTTGGAATTTTGATGCATTGGTGACGTCTTATTCTGTAAATTACCAGCCTTCATGTTCTGTACCCAGCTAGGTCGGCCTCACTTCACAGTCCCACAGTCAGAAATACAATTCGGTTGTAAAAATGAAATCTGAATATTTTGATTTACTGAAGTCTCATTCAAGTACTATTCTGTTTCTGCACTCGAGAACGTCTGGTGGTGTGTTCTGTGACTGGCTGACCCTCTCACAGGCAGTTGGTAGGTTCTCTGAGCTTTCTCTGAGCATGTTCCATCTGAAGTGTGGCATTGGACAGCCCCCCTTCCCCAGCGCTGTCCATCGTGCTGATCCCCTCGCGGCAGAACTGGTGCTGACCCCAGGGCCGCTGGGACCGCTAGGTCATGTTTGAGGACGTGTGTTACTTCCTGGAATGCGATTATTATCCTCGGCACCAAGGGAACCCACAGAAGACAGTAAACTGAGTCGTTTAAACTGGAGACGTGTCTGAACCAGCGTCTCATAAAAGGCTGTATGGGCTGTAAGATCACGAAGTGAGAACTGTGATTCTGTTGGTTGAACAGAAAGTATTTACGGAAGTATTTCAGTAATATGGGAAGGTTCAGTGGTACCGTGTTGCCCATTTATATGGTGGAACAGCAGAAGGAGATGGTTCTTTTATTAAAGGCAAAAGGGATACAAAATTTGGTACACAGTAGCCCATTTAAAAATATGGTTACAGATAAAAGTCTGAAATAAGTCACATGGTGATGTAATTTACTGAAGAAGCATGAAGTCTTTCTGTTTCAGCTAACCTGCCTGTGCCGACGATCGCGGCCATCGACGGGCTGGCTCTAGGTGGTGGTCTGGAGCTGGCGCTGGCCTGTGACATCCGAGTGGCAGGTGAGGGTGCGCCCTATTAAAACAACATTTAACGTGAGTTTCTCCCTCAGTCTCCAGGAAGGCCCAGATATGTTCCTCCTTTCCTGTGGTTGAGGAGGTCATGTGGGAAAAGATCACCTGTTGGACTTAATGCAGTACTTTGATTCCCAGGTCAGAACACGGCCTTTGGCCGTCTCTTGTTCAGTCTTAGTGGTAGGAAAGGGGGGCAGGGACTGGGTCAGGCAGAGCTGAATTTGAATCAGGTCCTGCCCTTTCTGACCGGCTTCCTCCTCTAAATCGAGAAATGTTGTTTGCAGTCGAGAGACTGAGTGAGTGGATCTGGGCACGTGTATAGTCCACGCGCTTTGTTATTGTGAGCTACAGAAATAATAACTTCTCTCTCAGAAGTTCATTTTCTTTCTGGATGGTTTTCTGAGGATTGGATGAGGTGATTATGAAAACAATCATGGAAACTGTTTGTGCTAGCCGTGTGCTGAGGGTTGACCCAGTGTCCAGCACTTTCTAAGCACTTGCCATGTATTAGCTCAGTCTTTGAGCAGCCGGATGAGGTCAGCACTCCGTGGTGCTGGAGGCAGCCAGGGCAGAGCAGGGTGAAGGACAAACCCCAGCCAGTGACTGAGCTGGATTTGAACCAGGCAGGCTGGTGCCAGAGCCCATGTTCTGCCACTGTGGCCCTGCAGCCCTCCAGCCCACCGCAGAGCCCTGTCCTGGGCCCTCACCACGGGGGCCTGAAGGGCTCGGGGCCCCAACTGTGAGAAGCGGAGAGTCACTTCCGATGCAGCGGCCTGGCAAAAGTAGAGTCAGTATAATTGTTTTTACTGATTTTATGGTGACTTTCTTGCGATTGGTAGTTGCTAGGCCGTGCACACATTTTCCCCTTTCCTCGGTATTCTGGATCTCTGTTTTCTGGTCTGGAATCACTGGGTTTTACATTGCAAAGCTCAGGCACATGAAATTTGTGTCTGAAAGAATGCAGCTTCTGGGAGCTAGGATGTGGGAAGCAGGCCGTGTGCTTCAAACATGCAAATAAAGAAATGATCAAGGTGTTTTTCTTTTTTATCCACACCTGAGGACATTTTTCCATTTTTTTTTGTTCAGGTAGAGTGGTAGGGAGAGAGAGAGAGAGAAACATCGACGTGAAAGGGACACATTAAGTGGCTGCCACCCGTACCACCAACCAGGGCCAGGGACAGACTGCAACTGAGGTACGTGCCCTTAGTGGGAATCAAACCCGGGTCTCTCTGGACTGCAGGCCAACGCTCTAACCGCTGAGCCAAACTGTCCAGGGCAGTCAAGGTGTTTCAAAGTATCCCTACAACCAGCCAGGGCGCGCAAGGTGTTTCAAAGTCGCCCTACAACCGGCCAGGGCGCTGAGGGAGTTTTCAAGTAGTCCTACAACACACATGGTAGGAGACACCCTGTCCATCTGTCAGGGCGGTGAAGCCGTTTGTCAGAAATACCCAGAGGTTGAGTCTTGAAAAGCTGCTCTGTCTGATGTGATGTATGACGCTGCTTCACCTGGAGGACCGTCAGGCTGGGGGAGAATGCCTGATTGTCGGTAGCCTCACGTCGCTGGGGAATTGACGGCATCTGAGTCCTCACACGTGACTGGGCAGTGTCAGTACATATCATGTGGTTTCAGCATTGCTTTTCTGCATCAGAAATTATTTGTCTGCCAAGAAATTTTTAACAGAATCTCTTAATATACAGGGTGTGGCAAAGGTAGATTTACAGTCGTTCATATGGAAAATAGTGCAGTAACTAAGAAATAATAATGTACAAATAAACTGTCTCACATACTCAGAATTGTAAAACCACTTCTGCCCCACCCTGGATGGAATTTAGAGTGGTAATTATTTTCATAACTGAATGTCTTCTGAAGTGGTAACAGGATTTGTGACACATTAATTAGCACACAAAATACAGTTGTTCCCCTTATTCCAGGGGTATACACTCCAGAACCCCCAGTGGGTATCTGCAGCTCCGGAGAGGACCGACCCTGTGCAATGCCCTTCGCTAGAGGAAGCACTTGATGGCTTCTCTGGCATGTCCATATTGCAGACGACATGACTCTTGCACCTGGGGCTGCTACTGACTAAAATGCGGGGGGCGACTTGAGCACCAGCACTGCAATGCTACCACCGTCGATCTGCGAGTCCCCACGGCCGTGCAGACACTCACAGAGGGATGAGTCACGTTCCGGGCAGGCCGGGGCAGGCCGGAGGTTTCATGACACCACTTAGAACAGAATTCAGGTTTAAAACTTACGAATTGCTTCTTTCTGGGATTTTCCATTTAATATTTTCAGACAGCATTTGTCTTCACTTAGTTGAAACTGTGGACAGCAAAATTGTGTCCAAGGGGGTATTACTGTGTTCATAGTTGATCTCACTAACTTTTTAAGTTATAAATGAATTTGATTTTATAGATATTACTTAGGATATTAATTTTCTTCCTTCCTTTTCAGCGTCTTCTGCAAAAATGGGCCTGGTTGAAACAAAGTTGGCCATCATTCCCGGTGGAGGTATGAATTGTTTATGCCCGTCTGGGTTTGTTCTTAAAAACGAGGCAGAAGGCAAAAAGGTGTTTATTGAAAGGCAACCTTTTGGGTGAAGAGACCGATGCTGCGTCATCTGTCTGCGGCCAAGTGCTTCCTCAGAGGCATCTTAGCTGCTGTGGGCGCCGCTGGTGGGCGCTGCTGAGGTTGCCCTCTGGCGTTCTCTCCGATGCCTCCCTGTGTGACAGCTTAATCTTCAAATCATCTCACCAGTCACGTTATTCTTGAGGGGTGACTTGGAAACTTCTGTGGGGACATGTAAATATGTGCCCCTTAGAGAGCTCCACGCACAGCCCACCCAGTAGAGGAGGGCAGGGCTGCCCAGGCTGCTGCCAGCTCCTGGGTCTGGGCAGCGGGCAAGGGTCGGGCCCCGGGCAGCTAGTGTCGCAGATTCGGTTACTACAAAATGATAGCTGCGTCTTTTGGAACTCATTGACAAAAGTGCTTTTCTGGCATTGATAATGAAATCTTGCATGACCCAACACATATGAAATTGTTGTTCTTTTGTCTGATGCAGAGAATTTGGAGATATTCACATTTTATGAAGTTGTTTATCCAAAAAGTAGGCTTCATTGGAAGATGTGCACATTGATAACTTATTAGTATGTGAATGAAATAACAGTAACAGTGTAAACTGTTAAAGGCAGCATTGAACACTTCAGGCATGGTTGTACCTGAACAGGTTAAAATGATATGTTTAACCATATCATTATAAGAGTATCTATTCTGATTAGAGTGTATAGGTAGAAATTAAAAGGTAATTCAGTGAAACTGAAGACGACCCAGATCAGCGTGTGAGATTCACTAAGTTTTCTACTTCAGTAATCCATGAACATGTTACTCTTATAGGTAAAAGCATTCACTACCTACCTGTTCTATCATGCCAACCTTTTTCACAGTGACGAGTGAAAGCTCAGAAAAAGAATTTATAAGAAAATATAGCTCTTTGAAAATAGTTATCAGATAACTAATATGTGAACCTAAAACATGGTTAGAGGAAAGGTGATATGTTTGATAAATTATTTTAAAAAGTAAGCTTTATTAGTATGGGATAAAACTAATCCTGGAAGAAAGTGACTCTAGCTGACTGGTGGCCGCCCAAAAGATATGTCATTGTAAACCTGGGAATATGACCTTATTTGGGAAAAAAGTTTTTACAGATGTAATTAAGGATCTTAAGGTGGTATCTTCCTGGATTATGTGAATGAAGCTTAAGTCCAAGGACCAGTGTCTCAGAAGAAGTGGAGAAGACGCAGGCAGGTGAGGAGAAGGGAGAGAAGACCGTGTGCGGACTTGCACGGACCGGGGAGCTGTGCACACACCTTGAGGAAGGCCAGGGGTGCTGGCAGCCCTCAGACACGAGGACACTTCCTCAGGAGCAGCCCCGGAGGGGTCCGTCCTGCCAGCATCTTAACTAGCCTCTGGCCTGCAGGACGACGAGAACGGAATCCCACTGCTCTAAGCCACCCGGTCGTGGCCGTTTGTCACAGCAGCCCTGGGGAGCGAGCGCGGTCGTTTAATGCTGAAGTCGTCGTCTTTGGGCAGGAGCTCTGTGTGTGGAGACAGACGGGGTGGGGGAAATAGGGACTTGATGACGTGATGTTAGCAGGTCCTAAGGGTGGGTGTTTTGTATTAAAGCCACTAGAAGGTAGGACAGTTGTGTGCGCACTGTTGGGTTTGGTTAGATGAAAACCTAGCAGCCTAATTGACTAACCTCGGAAGTGAGGGTGATGGGTCAGCCTGGTCTCTGCTCCTGAGCTGGCCCTGTGAGGTCTGGAATCAGCATGTTCTTCTCAGAGCACTGAAGGTCTTTGGGGTGCTCCTCGATTGTGGGTCCGGTAATCCCAACACACCTTTTATAAACTATTGATTTGGACTATGTATTCTCGTGGATACTATTATTTAAAAATTTTTTATTAAATCAATTTGTCATGAAATTCAAAATGCTTCAGCATTGATCCAGATGAAGCTGTGCCTCCCTCTCGTCACCGCGCGCAATGGACACGGACGAGAGCGCCTGCTCCCGGGCTCACGTGCTGTCTGTCACTGCTCTCCTGGGGACTGCCGTGACCGGGAACAGCTGGTCGGAACCTGGCACTTCGACCTCTCCTTTCTGTTTACGTGGCACTGAGCCTGAGCAACAACGCGATTGTTTTTAAGGTGTATTTTACACGTTTCCTTAAAATAAGACGAGTTAACTGGAGAATGGATGTGCTGCAGAGACAGTGGCATACCTGTGAGCAGGGTGTCCCCGGGCTGTCGCTGCAGTGCAGCTTTTAGACTAGCATTCCGAGCTTAGTTCCCACTGCACAGGACATTGTCTGAGTCCAATGACTGTTAAAAGGAAGGTATAAAGGAAATTAGAAACATTAAAACCAAGTGAACTTTAAATAGCCTTACATCAGATGTAATTTAAAAATGGAATATAATGGACTGTCATATACTTAAATCAGTAAGGGGTTCATTTTACTGCTTCTCAGATTTCCTAAAGTTTAAATGTTTCCACAATAAGCAGCTGCAGAGGGTGAGGGCACTGCAGCACTAGACACGGTGCCCACCGCAGCGCACGCAGGGCCTTGCGGTCCTACTCGTGATGGGTTCTTGACGCAACCCAAGTCCTCCAGGCCAGGAAGCAAGAAACCCTTACTTACTTATTTGTGATATGTATGTGTGTGTATATATATATAGTTGTAGATGAATATTTTATATCTATTTGATTGTAGACGAATATTGTAAAATACGAAATACAATGTTAATGATTTAAAGCACTAGCCACTTACAAAGCAATTGAGATTGCGCCACGGGCCTCCCTTCAGAACCCTGAGCTGTGCTGTGCTGAGCACCGTCGCCCTGCTGTTGTCCTCTGTCTTCACCTCAGCAAGCAGCCCGACTTCCTGTCTGCTCCCAGCTGGGAGCGTGCTTCCGTAGTTAAATAAAGCTTTCCTTTAGACACAGCTCCTCAGAGAGTACCACCCTTCAGCGTGTTTATAAGAATCCAACAGAACAAGTCCGGAGGATTCAGATCACTTTTACTTGACAGGTGAGAATTTGTTTGCACACAGAATGCCCCTCATCCCCGGCCAGGGTTTCTTGCCTCCTGGCCTGGAGGACTTGGGTTGCGTCAAGAACCCATCACGAGCAGGAGGACCGAAGGCCCTGCGTGCGCTGCGGTGGGCACCGTGTCTAGTGCTGCAGTGCCCTCACCCTCTGCAGCTGCTTATTGTGGAAACATTTAAACTTTAGGAAATCTGAGAAGCAGTAAAATGAACCCCTTTGTACCCTCATCAAGGTCTTCCCTCCTCACACCTCTCCTGCCACGCTGTCCCCAGGCCCCGCTGCCCCTCTGCAGAACTGTTTCAGAGCGACCAGGTGAGCCTTCGTTTCAGCCTGCTTCCTGAGAACAGGAAGGGACCCTGTGGAACAGCACGGTGACCATCCTGAACGGGCAGCCCTGTGTTCAGATTTCCCAGGTGCTTCGAAATTCAGTCTATAGTCGTTTTATTTTGCTTTTCTAATTCAGGATCTCATTAAATGTCACATGCCATATTTGGTTAGAACTTTTCTTTTTTAAAATCCAGACATGTCATCCATCTCTGTTTTTTATAACTAACTTATCTTTTTGATCAGGCAGATTATCTTACTGAGGTTCACATACTGTGGATCTGACAGAGTCATTTCTTCGTGTTTCAGCTAACAGTGTTTGCCAAGGTTCTGAAGGGACCGTGCTGTGTGTTTTATTTTCGTTACTTGAGGCCACTTGCTGTTGGTTGTCCCGCTTTGGGTGAAGTTCCCTTAGGTAAGGTGTGACTCACAGGGCCAGTGTTAGCATTCTCTTCGGAAACTTCTCAGGACAAGCATCTTCAGCAATTGTGATGTGATTGGCATCGACTGTGCCCCAAATTAAAAAGTAAAAGACCATGAGAGCGTCCAGGTGTCCCAGTGCCGGAGCAGGAGTCCCCAGGTTGCCCGTGTCTTCCTCCCTGGGGCAGGGTTGGGCCTCTGCGTGCCCCCATGGCCGAGCTGGGCAGTGGGCGGTATCTCGGCCTGGAGTCTCGGCCCTGTGGAACGAGTCTGTGAAGCAGCGATGGATTGTAGATCCTGTGTGTTGTTCTGAACACAGTCGTCATTTTGGAAAGTTTTGTTCACAGCCTTTACTGAGATCCTCTGGGAATGTATGTCAAAGTCAGGGCTTATCCTTCTGAATGTCCTCAGCGGTGACTCATCATCGCTCTGTGAGGGTGAACTTGACTTCACAAATAGCAAGGCCCTCGCTGTGCCAGACCTGATGACGGCCGCACTGTTTCAGGAGGAGAAGTGGAACAGCAGCAGTAAGACTGCTTTTCAAAGAGGCTTCTACCCTGTCGACGCTGACCAGTTTAAGGACAATGGCTGGCTCTCCGGATTCGGGGGCCTGCTGCCCATGTGGCCTCTAACGGCCAGCTCTCCTGCTCTCTGCAGTCCGGACGTCTGTCAGCACACCTCGGACAGTGCCATCTCATTCCTTTGTCCTTGGAGATGGGACGCGGACCGCCTCACTTGGGAGTTAGTGGTTGGCTTCCTGCTGCTGGCAGGCCATGTGCTCACTGTTGTCGAGGAAGCGAGCAAGGTGGGCAAAGGTAGGTGTGCAGATGTGCGTACATGGAACAGAATTTGCTCCCATACTGTTGTATTTACGACTTAATACACTGTCTGCACATGGACAGCTGTGCGTGCACGGAACAGAGTTTGCTCCTGTACTGTTGTATTTACGATCACTGCACTGTCTGTACACGGACAGCTGTGAACCCACTTGCCCTGCCCTGTACTTATCTATGTAACTCAACAGCGATCTCTTGGCATTGCCCATCTAGAACCTGGGAGGAGAGAGTGATCATTGTGTATGAGTGTCATAGCTGCCCTCATTGTGAAGTTGTTAGACTCAAACCCCATAAAGCAACTGCCCACTGGGAATCATGGATCTGAGAGAG